TAAAAATTTCTACAACAACACTTAGCAAACCGATTAGACAATTATGAGGCGAAGCAAGTATTGCACTAGCCTATTAAAATTGCAAGCCACCTACCACAATTCTAGTTTATATAGTTTCTATCCACATAATAACTATGTCACTACACTAAGTGTGCTCTCAAAGGCTAACTAAAGAGCCACACTAACTAAACTAACAAGCTCTCACAACTAGCTACACTAAAGAGCTTGACAACTAGTTTGCGGTAATGTAGAGAGAGTGAGCAAGATGGTTATACCGCCGAGTCGAGAAGTGAACCAATCAATCACAAGAATGAATACCAATGAAGACCAATCACCTCGGAATCAAATAATGGCACAATGATTTTTTACCGAGGTTCACTTGCTTGCCGGCAAGCTAGTCCTCATTATGGCAATTCACTCACTTAGAGGTTCACGCGCTAATTGGCATCACATGCCAAACCCTCAATAGGGTGCCGCACAACCAACACAAGATGAGGATCACACAAGCCACGAGCAATTCACTAGAGTACCTTTCGGCTCTCCGTCGGGAAAAGGTTAAGAACCCCTCACAATCACCACGATCGGAGCCGGAGACAATCACCAACCTCCGCTCGACGATCCTCGTTGCTCCAAGCCGTCTAGGTGGCGGCAACCACCAAGACTAACAAGCGAATCCCGTAGCGAAACACGAACACCAAGTGCCTCTAGATGCAAACACTCATGCAATGCACTTGGATTCACTCCCAATCTCACAAAGAGGTTGAATCAATGATGGAGATGAGTGGGAGGGCTTTGGCTAAGCTCACAAAGTTGCTATGTCAATGCAAATGGCTAAGAGGGTGAGCTAGAGCCGGCCATAAGGCTTAAATAGAAGCCCCCACGAAATAGAGCCATTGTACCCCTTCACTGGGCACTGCTCGGGGTGACCGGACGCTCCGGTCATATCGACCGGACGCACCCTGCCAGCGTCTGGTCAATGGATGGCTGCCACGTCATCCGTCTCTTTAAATACTGAGCGCCCGATCCCAACGGTCAAGTGATGACCGGACGCAGTATAGTGCCACTACCGGACGCAGGACCCCAGCGTCCGGTCACTTCCAGTAAGCCTCCACTCGTGACCGGACGCGTCTGGTCATGCCCGACCGGACTCACCCAGCGTCTGGTCACTCACTGTCTCCTCTGTGCACTGCCATGTCAGCAGGACCGGACGCACCTCGCCAGCATCCGGTCACGAAGTGACCCAGCGTTCGGTCAAAGACCGACGCCAGCGTCTTCACTGCTTCCACTGACCGGACGCTCCGGTCCAGTTGAGACCAGCGTCCGGTGCACTCTGTGAAACCCTGTCTTTTTTGTACAGGGCGCCGGTGGCACCGTCGGACTGTCCGCACTCTACGTGTGGACATTCCGCCTGTGAAGTTTCTAACCCTTGCTCAAATGTGCCAACCACCAAGTGTATCACCTTGTGCACATGTGTTAGCATATTTTCACAAAATATTTTCAAAGGTGTTAGCACTCTACTAGATCCTAGATGCATATGCAATGAGTTAGAGCATCTAGTGGCACTTTGATAACCGCATTTCGATACAAGTTTCACCCCTCTTAATAGTACGGCTATCGATCCTAAATGTGATCACACTCACTAAGTGTCTCGATCACCAAAACAAAAATGGCTCATACCACTTATACATTTGCCTTGAGCCATTTGTTTTTCTTTCTTCTTTTCCAAGTCTAAGCACTTGATCATCACCATGGCAACACCATCGTCATGTCATGATCTTCATTTGCTTCACCACTTGGAGTAGTGCTACCTATCTCAAAATCACTTTGATAAACTAGGTTAGCACTTAGGGTTTCATCAATTCACCAAAACCAAACTAGAGCTTTCAGGTTGCCGCCAGCTAGATGGCTTGGAGCAGCGAAGGAGTGTTGGCACGAGTTGAAAATTATTCGTTGCCACACCGATTGTGATTTTGAGGGGTTCTTGGGCTTATTCCTCGGCAGAGCGCCAAAAGCCACTCTAGTAATAAATTGCTTGTGTCGTTGAGTGCCCTCATTTGTGTAGGTTTTTATGACGCTCAAGTGTTGGGCTAGGCATGGTGCCTATTAGCGCGTGAACCACCAAGTGAACGACCGACACAACGAGGACGTAGCTTGCTGGCAAGCAAGTGAACCTTGGGATAAATCTTGGTGTCATCATTGGTATTCATTGTGATTGATTTATCTCTTGCCGGCTAGTATCATGCTCTACCTCTATTGTATTTACATTCATATACATCTTGTGTAGAGGTAGCTTATCTTGCTAGTGTAGTTCTCTTGTGTAGCTTAGAAGTAATTAGTTGTATTTATTGTGCTAGTTGAGTAGTGACTTAGCCAAAATTGATTAATTTAGATATCATAGTGACTAGCTTATTGGTAGGTGGCTTGCCTTTTGAGTAGAGCTAGAGCAAAACACATTTACGCTATTTAGTTGATTAACAAGCTGCTTTAATGTTTTGTAAAATTTTTATTAGGCTATTCACCCCTCTAGTCATTTAGGACATTTCACACGCCGGCGCATATTTATTTATTTACTTACGCATTAGGACCTATCAGACTAGTCGGGAGCATGTTTCCTTTTGGCGATCACAGTAAAAAAACACAACATTGCAGAACTATTCAGAACACAAGCCAAACCTGACAGGGAATTTATAAAATTAATAACTCTCAAACCAGTTAGTCTAAAATCATGAAATTTTAGCACTAGGATTAACAAGTTATCTACGACTTTTGTATAGACCACATTCACAGAAAAGATGATTTACATCAGGAAAGCAATTACTCGACAGCTGCATGCACAGCCAGTTTCAGCACATAAGTAGAAATGTTGTTTTTTTGTTTCTTTAACAGGATCACACATGCATAAGTCAAGCACTTAGATCACAACAACTATAAACATAGTTAATTAACATGTAGTCACAGCTAGCACGAAAACACCTTAAACACATCTCTAAACATGGAGGTTACATGATGGGGTTCCTCCTTCATTTTGATTCACTGGATACATGCTTATTAATTAGCAAGCATAAGTAAACATATGAAGAAAGGTTCCCCAAGGTGTTTTGGGCTAACCCCAAATAGCACATAAACATTCTATAACATATACATGTCACCCACACGAGCAAGTGTGGAGAAAAAGATCAAAAGTTTACAAGAGCAACACACTCACTAGTGGTGGTACTTAACGAAAAAGCACACACACAAGCCATCTCAAGGCTCAACCAAAAACAACATAGCTCAACAGCATATTCAAGTTAATGTAAACAAGTGAGCACCACAAGTTGTTAAGGTATAATAGTCAAGGACAATAGTGTAATCTCCAATGTCTAGGGTTACGTCTTGTATCTCCTATGTACTCTATATATATCCTCGATGGGCCTCAATACAACTCAATACAATCGTCTAGTTTAGACTCTCCTTATTCGTAACATGGTACCAAAGCTGTAGGTTTAGATCCATACACCACCCTTCGCTCATTTGCGCTGCCTTGGAGAGGATCCATCTCTGCTCCTCGTAGGGCTTCGATTTTTTTCTCGTCGCGTCATCATCATACAGCAGAAGCCGCCGTGCCCCCCCTCCCCGCCCTCATCCGGCCCATTGCAGGCCACCCATCGCGGGTGCACTTCTCGTCTCGCCGCCGCCATCGCAGGATCCGCCAAATTCGACCATCTTCCACCATCACGGATGGGTCGATGCGGCCGTGTCACTCATCCGCGCGCTTCTTCGTCTCCTGCGGCCCATCTCCGTGGAGTCTTCACGAGCACCAGTTGCGAGGTCTCCCGCTCGTGGCCCGCCTCCATCCACGTTGTCCGTGTGGTCCTCCATTCGCCACCATCCACGCCGTCTTCATCAAGCCTTCTGTGCGCGCGTGATTCGCGCGGTCCACCCGTGCGTGCGCCATCCACGTGGCCCGCCTGTGCGCGTATCGTCCACGGCAGGGACGGAGCCAGGGCAGAGACGCGAGGAGGACACGAGCGCAGGGAGGTGGGGCGCGCTCGCACATGGTTGCCACGATTGACAGTGATTAAGGAAACTCAACTTGATGATCAAAACGAAGTCCAATTGAACATCGGCATGAACTCCAACTTTCATTCTTGTACCAAACATTGGGAAGGGTGGATAACAGCAGCAGATTCCAACTTTCTGTTTGACCCACTTACAAGTTGAATTAGAGTTTGATATAAAAACAAAGTTTGTTGTATTCAACTTAGACTGCAACTCTTATTTAAGGTCAAACATCGAAACAGGTACAGAACCTACAGTTTTACCTTAGTCAAAACAGCCACATGAAAAAGGCTTCAACTAGGGTTTTAGCTAATTTTAAGCACTTTCTCCACATTTTTCAAACATAAACCCTAACTTACTTTTGTTCAATAGTTAATTTAGAGTTAGTTGAGCATGAATGCAAGAGTGGATTGACATCACATGTTTAAACTTCATTAGCAAAAGCAATGCAAGCAAGGTTCCAATTCATCATTTAATGTGATTAAGTGATTCCATCTTCATGCAACTTATCATATGATCAGATGAGTTCATGTTTAGGTGATGCACATGAAAAGACATGATTAACATTACACATGCGTATTTTTGAGAAGGTTAACATATAAACAAAACAGTGTTGCCTTTGTCTTTCAAAAAGTTTAAGTTGGGACCTATTTTCAGAGAATCGATCTCAGCACCTTTGTCACCACTTTAAAAGATTTTGAACTAAAGCTCAGGATCATCACATATCTTGTTTAAGTTGAACCCACTGCTTAGCCTTTGATTAACACCTGGGGTGTTACAGTAACTACCTTCAGTCCTACATACTCATACCAAGGTCACTTGCATATAACACGCAGATCGCGTTTACCTCACAGCGTCCGTGACATCAGCCACACTCTGGCGCATCAACAGCATCAATTGCTTGGTAGAGAAGGATCAACTTCTACGGTTCTACCCCGTCCTTTTGCATCGCAATGTCATCAAATGCTTGGTAGTGAAGGATCAACTTCCATGCCATTTTTTTGCATCACAACAACGTCACCTTCCTCATCACTGTGGTGGTCTTCTTTGCTCTTGTCGAGGCCCTTCTTGCTGAACATGCTCTTTAGGTTATGAGCGGTTTTCCCGGCATGTTTCACCATGTGCACCGCCTTCTTCCTCAGGTGCCTTTTAGTTGGGCTGTCCAGCTCTTCTCTCTCAGGGCTTTGCTGCTGGTCATCTGGTCTTGACCCCGATCTGTTGGCCCCAGGATCTTGATCGACCACATATGTTACTGAAACCCTGCTTTCCCCGACTGGCCGAATGTTTGGGTGAGGCACTACACATGGGGAAGCTTCGTCGTCATTCTCTTTCCTTGGGCTCCGGTGGAGCACTGCTCCAGCTAGCTTGCCCAAACCCTTCTTGACCCTGTGGAGGTGGCGGTGCGATTTACTGCTCGTGGCTTCTTCAGTGCTGGAGTCACTTCTATGAGATTCTGACACTGATGACCTTGGGCTATCACTACAAGCATCATTCTCCCGGTGAATTTTGGAATCCTGGCACCGGGGACGGCCTTTACGAGGTTCCCATGCACTGGTGACATCACTGCCAGGGCGATGCACCCAAACATCGGGCTTTTCTGATCCTTCTATGTCAACTGGCTCAAATTCATCAGACATCTTCTGGAATTCATCAGAAGATTCACTATGGTTGGTCCTGGAGGAGAAACTTGACCTCGGTGTGCTAGCTTCGTCCACCTTATGTATTCCACACTGTTCCTCTTCATCATTAGGAACCTGCAAGCACAATGAACACATAACACAAGTTGTCACTGAGTCTGAACTTAACTTCAGTTCTAGACTGTATGGAAACATATATGCTGGGTCATGGGCTAAAGGAAAATGTATCTAGACTCCTAGTCAGTGTCCAGTGAATAATAAAAGTCAGTCTGATTACCAGGACGAAGTAAAACCTAATCTCACCTTTTCATTTTCTTCTTCAAGTACAGTTACAGCAATGTGAATCTTCCCTGTCCTTATGTTCTTCAGTGCAATCCATATATCATGCCTTTTTCCACCTCTTAATTTGTTGATGCTTATGGAACAATCACTACACACGACAAGAAAGATACTTTAACTTCTATTTTTGTGATAGTTAATCAGAATGGTAAGAGTTTCCCAACGTCACCTTTGTAAGTACAAAATGCAATTAGGCATAAAGCAATGGTATGGTACGCACTATTATAATGAAAACTTAGAAACGGTTAATGGAGACCAACCCAAGAGTGTCATCAAAAATGGGATCCTTATCTCGGACTTGAAGAGAAAGAAGATTGAGTGCTTCCCATGAAGTTATTGGTATTTTAAACTCCTCGAGCCATTTTGGATTAAGAGTTTTCTTATGGATCTTTGTTTGAAAACGGTAGGGTCCAAGATGTCCTTTCACATATGGATCAGCTAGTCCTGCACATAGATCCAACAATAGGCATTTTTCTGAAAGTTATCTAAATACAAGTCTTGAATGCTCCACATTAATTCAATAATAACTCATATTCCTTATTTTTAACATTTTATAAATACTCCACATACCATTTGGATCAGATGGCTTCATATCAGCACCTTCCAGGATCTCCACTCGAGCATATGCGATAGGTGGCTTCTCATCAACACTAAACCAGTTGTCTGATATACATGGACATCAATTTAGAACAATTTCAGACATTTTGCATAGGAATAACTATTAGTGCAAAAGAAAAAACAGTATACTAGTAACAAGAAAGCATGGAAGCTACACTAAGAAGACTATGTAATGGCAGAAATAATTTCAATAGATCAAACTGGCCAATTAGCCTCGGGAGTACTCAGTTGGCATGATTTTTTTTGGGGGCTCCAAAACGAAGGAGCAGCATAACAGACCAGATTACCTGCAACTAACAAACTTTTCCCCTGTACAGCTGCATGCCTGCATGCATCCATGCAGGCATGGGCTACAAGTCACTGCATTTGGGCTTAGGAAACTGAGTGGGCCTAGTAAATTTGAACAGCCAACAAAAATGAATACACCTACTCAGTTTTTTTTTTCAAAAAACCTCTTCGAAGAGGGCAGGAAGCTCCTGCAGTTCACCAAGAATAAGCGAGTTATCCTGGTGTATAAATGAAATTGGGCCTAAAACATCACATTTGCAATACTTTTTGAGGAAAACCGGCAAAAATCTAAGCACGACAGCCCAAATGACTAACCCTGAGCACCGTACACATAGCAGCAACCTGCAAATGACGGAGTATGCAGTGCGTCATCACTGCCGAGCTTGTCACAGAAGTGACCAGCAGCTCCAATTGCCCGAGGCGGACAGCAGCCAAATCCACCAAAACACTGCCACCTACACATAGCTCGCACCAACCAACCTAGGATAACACAGCTCGTCATCGTTACCCAGCATCACCACATCATAGCAAGCAGCTCCAACTTCGACCATGCAAACTCAAACCAGGAGTGAAAGCAGAGAGCTACAGAGTAGGCAGTGACACTGAGAAGGTGCGGCCTCGTAAAGAAAAACCATGCCTGCAAAAAAGTATCGGACACCCCACATGAACCGAACACCACCGAGGCAGTGTGGGAACTCCAAACGTATATATGGAGACTATGTGCCGCTCGGAGAACCTTCGACGACACTCAGCTGCACACACCCAGCTCCGGCAAAGGACGACCAAGCCTTTCACCCAGCAACACCACCTCACCCTCGCACAAAGTTGCTGGGCAGAAACGCACCACCCCACAGCAGCTGCTGATCTTGCGAGCACCACTACAAATGCACCCACAAGCAACAATCGCCGCAAATCCAAGGATGCATGACAGCTGCAACATGAACCCAAGTTTGGGGGCAGCACTGCCAGAGACAGGAATGAGACAATTGGTTTTTTGGTACTCCAAACTTTTTTTTTTCTCAAACTACGAAGAGAGATCTGTGTCATTTCATTAAGATGTGAAAGGGCCTCTAGCTGAGTTAGTTAGGTGGCTTGAGTAGCACTCCTCAGGTCCTGAGTTCGACTCCACTCCCCGCGACTGTCCCACACCAAAGCATAGGTCTAAGGTCCCCCGTTGGTCGTGGTCGTTCTTGACCTGCGTGAAAATGTCTTCTTAATGCAATGCCTAGAGGCTGTCTTAACCCCCCCCCACACACACCACACCCCGAGATCGAGTTTTTTTCATTTCATTGAGATAGAAAAAGACACGAGATGAGTCTAGAAAGAACCTGTACTTGAGGTCCCCAACAAGACAGACTATGCAATGATTGAAAAAGGAAAACACAACCACACCGGTAACTAAACACACAAGTGTTTCCATGCTTCCGTATTTCCCAGGAAACGAGAATAATAAGTGAATTCAACACCTGATAGATAAGCATAGTGCTAAAGCACTTGTATCTTATTTTTCCTGTACTTTTACTTTCCTTGGCTTCCAAGCTTAGTGTTAGGAATATGCTCAGCATCCACTTTAGTGGTTAGAATATGCTGCAGCAAGTGGGAGTCCCCCTGCCTATAAAGGGCAAGGGAGTGTCATTGTAAAAACTAAGTCATTGCATTTCCTTCAATCCAAGCGGCCAAGGGCCAAACTGCCCTCTGCTACTTTCCAAATCTGAATCTGAGATCTATTTGGGCCATCAATTGGTATCAGAGCCTTGTGTTCTTGAGTGAGCAGAGAGCCATGTCCACCGCCAGCCAGATCACCAGAGCCCGCGCTGCTGCCGGCACCAGGGCCGGAGTAGGAGCTGACGATCGCGCGACGCGCCTTGCTGCCACAGAGGCAGCGGCTGCGGCGGCAGCCGAGACGGTCAGGCAAGCAGCGGCTGCGACCCAGTCCGCGGTGGCTGCAGTCGCGGCGCTGCGTGCTGAGATAGAGCGGGAGGAGCTGGAGCCAGCGGGAAGAGGGTCCCGCAGCCCGGACGGGCGCCGCCGCCAGTCGTCGTCACCAGAGAGGCGTCGTGGTCGCCATGGCCGCTCCCCGGTGCTGCAGACGGTCTACTGCGACTCCGGAGCGGGAACGCCATGGCCGATGCTTACCAAGTCGAACTACCACGAGTAGAGCCTGCTGATGAAGGTCAATTTGCAGGCTCGACGGCTGTGGGGGGTGGTGGTCCACGTCGGCGGCGTCGACTACGACGACGATCGCCGGGCGCTGGAGGCGTTGTGCGACGCCGTCCCCACCGTGCTTGGCGCTTCCATCACCAACAAGGCCACGGCGAAGCTGGCGTGGGAGTCGATCGCCGCGGCACGCGTCGAGGGAGATCACGTATGCCGGGCAACGCTGCAGCGCCTCCGAGGGGAATGGGAAGGCCTCGCCTTTTAGCCCGGCGAGAAAGTCGAGGACTTCGCCGTGCGGCTGACCAACCTGATGGAGCAGATGGCGCACAACGGCGACACCGATCTCACGGAGGAGCGCGCGGTGGAGAAATTCCTCCGCTGTATGCCGAGGAAGTACGCGCAGATCATCATGTCGATCGAGACGCTCCTCGACTTCGAGCAGCTCACCGTCGAGGACGTGACCGGGAGGCTCAAGGAGATCATGTCGACCGCGAGGAGGGGCCTCACAACGAGCCGAGCGCCGCCGGAGGCAAGCTGCTGTACACGATGGAGCAGTGGCGCGCCTTGAAGAAGGAGGAAGGATCCGGACCATCCGGCTCCTCCAAGGAACGTCGCCGGCGTCCACGCGACAGCAAGAAGAAGAAGGGCCCCGGGGTCAGGTAGGCGCTAATGGTGGCGCTGTCGACGAGCGCAAGGCTGATGGATAAGTCTGGCTGCTGTGGTCTTTGTGGGGCTGCTGTGGTCTTTGTGGGGCTGCTGGTTGTTGCTGCCACAAGGACAGCATCTTAGCATCTTAGAGGACAACATTTTAGCATCTTAGACTAGCATCTTGGCATATGCTTGGCTAGCTAGCAGCCTATAAATATGTATCCCCAACCCCTTAGGTTGGCATGGCATTTGTGTGAGTTTGTGTGAGAAATAAACCAGAAAATTGCCCCAACTCCTAGTGTCATCCTCTCTCGATGAGAGTAAGAACTCTGCTACTACCGAGAGTAAGAGTTCAATGACTAACAAAGGCGACCCAGGATGACACATGCAACAACTGCGGCAGGACCGGCCACTGGGCCAAGGACTGCCGCCTTCCTCCACGCCGTGGTGGGCAAGGGTGGAGGATGCTACTCTGTTCCTGGTGCACGGGTGCATCGAGCCGCAGCGAGAAGCAGAGGGGGTGAAAGGTCCAAGCTTTCCCCTTTCCGCGTCAGCTGGCTCTGCACATCTCCACCTCGACAAACCGCGCGCCCACGCCTTTCACGGCAAAGGCGCAGACGATGACAAGATCGACGGCTGGTACCTCGACACCGATGCCACGCACCACATGACTGGTTGACGCGAGTTCTTCTCCAATCTGGACTCCGACGTGAAGGGCTCCGTCAAGTTCGGTGACCTCTTCGCCGCCGAGATCAAGGGAGTCGGCTCGATCATCTTCAAGGCCAAGACGGGGGAGCACCGCCTTCTCACCGGCGTGTACTACATCCCGGCCTTGACGAACTCCATCATCAGCGTCGGGCAGCTGGATGAGAATGGCTCGCGGGTGGAGATTGAGTATGTCGTGTTGCGTATCTAGGATAGAAACCGCCGCCTTCTCGCCAAGGTGAACCGGGGAAGCAACCGCCTTTACATGCTTCATGTGCAGGTGGCGCACCCCCTTTGCCTTATCGCGCGCCAGGACGATGAGGCGTGGCGCTGGCACGAGAGCTTTGGGCATCTTCACTTCGAGGCCCTGAAGCAGCTCGGCAAGGAGGAGATGGTCCGCGGAATGCCCTGCGTCGACCACGTCGAGCAGCTCTGCGACACCTGTGTGGTGACCAAGCTGAAGGGCTTGCCCTTCCCGCGTCATGCCTCCTACCGCGCCACCGAGCAGCTCGAGCTGGTGCATGGCGACCTCTGCAGTCCAGTGTCATCGGCCAATCCTGGAGGTCGACGCTACTTCCTACTGCTCGTTGACGACGCCACCCGCTATATGTGGGCCGTGCTGCTCGATTCGAAGGCGGCAGCTGCAGACGTCGTCAAACGCCATCAGGCGGCCACGGAGGAGTGCGGTCGCAAGCTACGGGTGCTCCGCATGGACAACGGCGAGTTCACGGCGGCCGAGTTCGCGGCGTACTGCGCCGACGAGGGAATTCAACGCCACTACTCCGCGCCCTACTCACCGCAGCAGAATGGCGTGGTCGAACGCCACAATCAGACGGTGGTGGCAGCGGCACGCGCCCTCCTCAAGCAGCGCGGTATGCCGGCGGTCTACTGGGGGGAGGCCGTGATGACCGCCGTACACCTGCTCAACCACTCGCCGAACAGTGCTCTCGACGGCAAGACGCTGTATGAGGCCTGGCACGGGCGCAAGCCGGCGGTCAGCTACCTGCGTGTCTTCGGCTGCCTCGCCTTCGTCAAGGAGTTGAACCACGTCAGCAAGCTCGACGATCGCAGCTCGCTGAGGGTCTTCATCGGCTACGTAGAGGGGGCTAAGGCCTACCGTGTGCTCGACCCGGCGACACAGCGCGTGCGCGTGGCGCGCGACGTCGTGTTCGATGAAGGACGCAGCTGGGCATGGGACAAGGCGGTGGATGACGGGTTCGCGGCCGCGCTTCGCGACTTCACCGTCA